CTGGGAAATGCTTTAGCCGTGAAATCATCTGGGATTGTGTCTGTTTTCATTTTAAAAGAATTACCTAAGACCAGGAGTAAAAATACGGCTGCTGTACAACTTTCTCTGGAAATATCCGAGAGCCAAGCAGTCTTAAAAAAATACTCAGCATGCCTGTGCAAGTCAGAGTGAGTCACTGTACAGCTACGTAATTCACCTTAAACTCAAACAGATCGATTCCATCAATACAGTACTGCAAAAGCCAGAGTATTTTTAAATCCTGTGGATATGTAGTCTTAGTCAAAGCAGCAAACAGAGCTGGATGTTCCTGCACTGCAGCACTTTGCCTCATTGTGGATCACAAGTTGTGTTTTTATATTTATTGACACAGCTCTGGAAAAAATGAAGAGAACCTCATTGTAAACCTTGTGGTTATTCCATTTATCTGAACTCTTCCTGAGTTAAAACAGTAGAATTGTTGTTTCTGTATGCTACTGGGGCAGTCTAACATTTTAAAGATTGGCAATAGACGATGGCCAGAAAACTGAAATTGGTGCTCTCCTATTTATAGGCAAACTCATTAAAATTCATATTGACATTCTTTAAGGAAGCCAGATGTGTATTATTACACAACCCAAGGCTTTGAGAAGTTTAACTGAGTTTTTTAGGGTTTTTTTCTACAACAGGAAAGTTTTAAACAATTTGTACTTCGCTACCTCCCACAAGCTAACCCTCTATAGTTTTGAAACGGGTTGCAGACTGGAGAGTTTGCCCTTTTCTATTCATGTGTTCAGCAAAAATGACCTTTATAACCCCGAACTGATCTTACACGTCATACCACCAAACAACAATGGAGATTACATTCAAATTCAAAAATATATTGAGCCCAAATGTAAATTAAATGTTGCTGTAAATTGAAAGAGTTATTTTAGATGCCGATGGCTGTGAACATGTTTGTCTTGTAGTGAATTAATTCTATAAACCAACCTGACATGTTGTTCGCCATTCTTGTCTTCTCGCTGTTAACCGCTCACCTCGTGTGGAGGATTTATGTCCTATAATCTATGTTTAGCGCCACTTACAGGTATGGGGGAGTAAAAGTAGTCTTTAGGTTGAGGTCGTGTGGGTGACAACATTTCTGGAAACGGTCCCATGATGTGGATGTGGGTGTTTTTGAAACTGACATCCCATAAGAAAAAAGAAAAGAAAGAAAGAAAAAAAATCTCATGTTGCCTTAGAAATGAAGTTTGAAATGCATGCTGTTTTATCTGACTCCTGCATCTCTGCATGTTTTTAGTCAGTCAGCCCCTATCTGATGTCACTTTCAAAAGTCTTGGAATTGATATGAACTACAGCTAGTAGAAGTATTTTAGTTGTTTTAATATTTTTTTAGCTAGTCTTTAGAAGACAGACATTGTATTTAATAAAAATAACTAAGTACATGTAATTGATCTGATTGAAGAAATAAATCTTAATTTTGGTAAAGTTCCAATTTTTTTATTTTATTTTTTTTTACGTTCTTTATATTTGTAATAAAAGTAGATCCAGGTATAGGTCAATAATTCATCCTGTAGGGGGCGCTGTGTGGTGCAGTGGTAGAGCGGGTGTCCCATAAACAGAGGCTATGACCTCCACTGCTGTCCGGTTCCCGACCTTGAGAGACTTGCTGCATGTCTCTCCCCCTTCTTTCTTTCTTTCTTCCTTCCTTTCTTTCTTTCTTTCTTTCTTTCTTTCTTTCTTTCTTGTCAGTAAAGCCTCTAGTGCCAAAATAAATAAATAAAAACAACATGAAGTCTGTAGAAGAAATTTTAGATTTTGACAGACCATGACACTGATTCTTTATTCAACAGATTACAATATGCATTCTGAGACTCATTTATCAGATAAAATGTACTTTTTGAAAATAAACTTTTATCAGCTATTAAATATACTTTTCATTAAGACATTTCTCTATTGAAAATGTTTTATTTTTTTTGTCTCATGTAATATTCTAATCCTATAAATTCACTGGCTTGAAGCAGAAAATCAGAAATAAAATCTTGAAAACATCAGCCATCAGTTTATTTATTGCAAATAAATCAACTTTCCAATTTCATACAAAAGTTCTTGAACAACTCTGGATGGTACATTCCAGTAAAATGAAATATGCGGCTAAAATACAAGACTATGGTTTTGTTGCTTTTTAGCTCTTAGTGTCAGGCTTTAAAAGTTTCTCTTCCACACCAGTTTGTATTTGTATTCTCCTGGTGAAGCTGTGGCTGGGACGGATCAGCTGACCTGCTTGTGAAGCTGAAACACAATGTTTCCTGGAACAGCCTCTCTCTACCTGTCTGCACATAGCTGAGTGTGTTTCAGCTGGAGCCGACCTCAGCACAATCAGACTCTTGTACGACTCTGTTCCCGCCCCCCCCGCCCCATCCCTCCAGGCGGTTTGGATTCTTATGGCACAGCTGACTCCCAGAATCAGGAATGTTAAGTCAGTGGAGGCCCTCTCACATTTAAACTCCCAGCATGCCCTGTCAGCACACGTACACATGGGTTCCTGGCAGCTGCCAAAACTCACCCGCAGAACAACCGGCAAACCAGCTCTGACAACAGGATCACCAGGAGAGGTGGGAGGAGGAGGAGGGAGTCGAATTACCCCTAACTACCCCCCTGTCCCCCTCTCCTCCCCCCCTTCTTGTCCCTCACATGTTCAGCTGTACACTTTTTCGGTTGAGTGCACAGAGATGAGGCAGCAGAGAATCATGGACTGCAGAACAAGCTCTTGTTGTGCGGAGCTGTAACCGTCCTGATTAACTCTGGTGGCAGCAGAGTTCATGTTCTCCTCGCAGGTCACAAGTTCTTTATGAAAGGAACCTAGAATTGGTCAAAAATACCAACTGGACCCAAATTTAAAATGCAAATTTTTTTCTTTTAAAAAAAGCCTTTAAAAAGAAAAGGGATTGCATCAGTCTAAACCAGAAGTGTCCAAAGTGTGGTCTGGGGGCCATTTGTTGCGCATAAAATCATTTTGTTCGGTCCTGGACCATAAGTCAAGAATGGTAAAAGTTTGGCCAACAAAGTAGAAAACAATTGATGACCTCCCAAATTTGGAAATGGTCAGTTTTTCCTTTAATAAGGCAACAGCCTGAAGGCCTTTTTATGATTTGTATCTTTAATGATGTGCAGATTTCCATAAATATTTGTTTTATTGTTTAAGCAAAAAGAAAAAAAATTCAATTAAAAATCACAATAAACTTTTTTTTTTTTTTCATTTTTAATTGAATTGATTTTATGGCCCACTAGTAGCTTCAATTTTCCAGTTTTGGCCCTCAGGGCAAAAAAAAAGGGTGTGCTAAGTGGAGCAACGACTGCAGCGGAAGTTCTGCTTTTCCCTGGAGTCAGTTTGGACCAGAGGAGTCCAAACTGTTGAACTGACCAACACAACACGCTGTTTTTCTGTTGTTTGTGTCGTTTCAGTTTTCAGTAAGGCTCTGGCCTTAGTCATGTGCAACACCTATGACGTGTTCGTATCCAGGAAATTAAGAAAAAGCTTGAAGACCCATTATTTAGCTTCTTAACATTTTTTTGAACACATAGATGTTTTAGATTCTGGTGTTTGTCAAGTTGCCACTAAATACATTTTGTATTACCATACTGTACTTCCCATTGATGTTATCGCTGTTATAATATATGCAGCTGTTTGTTGTGGTTTCTTGTTTTTCTTTTTGCAGGTTCAGTCACTTCTAGGGTGCCAACTCTGCTTCTCTCTCTCCTCTACTCCTGTCTCATTTCTCTTTAAACCTTTTCTCCACCTTTTCCTCCTTTCACTTTTTTTTCATGCCAAAAGTCGTAATGTTCCACTTGAGAAAATAAACCTGTTGGTCCTCCCTTTGACACTCAGAAAAATGGGCAACCATGATCCTTGATTAAGCTAGCATGATGAGGTAATGAAGTGGTAATTCAGTTTATTTTTAGGTGCATTACAGACACAAACATAAGCCACATCTTCAGGAAGGTCCTGAATTCTCTTATTTCACAACTTTTTCACAGTGCCAAGTCTTTAGTAATTGTTTAATGAGACAAAGTACGATAAAGGAAACCTGGATGTTCTCAAGTCTTTTAAAGTCGCAAGAGAAGAAAAAATGTTCAATATTCTATCAAATAGTTGGGTTGTTTTAGGTTTTCACCCTGAAAATATTTTAATAGCTGCAGCCAAAAAGGGATAAAATTGTTTACAGAAAAACAATTTATGAAAATTTGGAGCTGTTAATAGAAAAACATTTTATAAAGAGATCCAACTGAATCAAATACCAATATGTACTTATTTAAGCTACAAATTAAGGTTTCACATTTCACATTCCCTCTTGAAACTTATGTGTTGTAGTTTCTCAACTCTACTTATGATGTTTTCTCTTTTTTTTCCTTTTGTATTTGAATGAATTAGGGGGGGAAAAAATGCATGCAGTTTAGCTTTTCTATTGTTTCTGTTTTTCATTATGCTTTTAAAGCATTTTGTAGATGCACATCAACTTTGTCCAAATTCTCTCCAAGGTTTTAACTAAATGAATCAAAGAAAAAAATACAGAAAAACAACTAAAGGTCAGAAGTTTGATGATACAACTAATAAAAAGTATTGTATCAGTCCCGATATCAACCCAGTATTTACTTGGTATGATATCAACACCAAAATATGTGGTACTGCACAATGCTCCATTACAGAAAAAGTGAAATAACTAAAATAACCCAGGTCTTTAATACCATAAAAATCACAACACCGAACTGTAAATTTAAACTTGTTTTAATCAAGGAAATCTTTATATTTTCACTCTGGGGGAAAAAAAAAAAATAAAAAAATAAAAAAAAATCTGGAACTTTAAAATCACATCTTTGTTTTATGAAAATTAACTTTTTATTTTTTTTAATTTTTTTTTCTTTAGTCATGAAATTCCTTTAGATAATACATTTTCTTTTATACGTATTTGAAAATATCTTTTGCTGGTTTTGCTTTAGAATATATGTAAGCAGATTTCTTTATTTTAATTTCAATATTCTTCTCATTTTGGGGGAAAAAAATAAAATAAAATTCATCAATGCATATCAGTCCAGACGTCGGATACAGCAGCTGTACCAGACATCCATCATCGTTCCGGCCCCCGGACCACCACAGAGAGCCTGGTGGTGGGGGGGGAAGAGAAAAACTCCTCGCCGTTTCTGATGCAGCGCTAGAAAGTTGGACCCTAGTGACCGTGTTGTTGCTGTGTGTTGTCCATCATGAGGCCTGCTCCCCGCGTGTTTAAAACAGCGACCACCAGGGATGCTCTGGTGCTCGCCCTTCTGAAAACACCGTGAATTTTGCTTCGCTAAAACAATTGTATGTATAACATAAAACCCAGCTGATCTGCACTGTAACTGACTGCTGGAGTCAAAGCTTTAATTTATTCTATGACCCCCCCACCCGCCCCTCTGGACCCCCCTGTGCTGTGAAGATAATCCTCCCCCTGACATTTTGGGTAATCTTTTCAACGAAGAGCTTACAGATCTCAAACGTCCCTCTCTGGTTCTCTCTGGACCAGAATAGGATGATTGCTCACCTTCTCTATTCTCCATAAACTCCAGCACAGGAAAAAACTCATCTTAAGCAGGTCCTCACTCTTTAAATATGAACTATATGTTCCAAACTGGATGGTGGTCATTGGTTTCAGTCCTAGTTATTAAAAACCAATCAGCTGGTTTTAGTAGCACCTCTCTCTCTTCTTTTTTTTCTTTAAACATAAAAGCATAACTCATCCTTTTTTAAAAAAAACAATGAGAAATATCTCATTTGCGCATTTTTTCCACTTTCAGAGAATCACACAACCACTCCAACCCTTAACCCTACAAACTTTTTTGAGATAATACACCAATAAGTCCCTGAACATGTACTTTTTACGCCACAATACTTTTTAGTAGGCTATTACAGCACGATTTGTCATGCACTTTTAACTGTCGCTTCTGCTTTTTTTTTTCTTCTTTAATGAAAAATACCCCTAATGTCGCACATCTGTCGTGTAGCTTGGACTAACAGCTGCTGTAATTCTCCTGCTCAGTCGTCATCCACGTCGTCCCCCTCGGACTCCTCTCTCCTCTCGTACATCTTGTCCCTCTGCCGCTCCTGGATCTCCTTCATCTCCTCGGCGTACCTGCAGAAGGCTCCTCCGAACTTGCCCCAGGCTTTGAACGGGATGGTGATAGAGTTCCTGTAGCTGGGCTTCACCTCGCTCACGCGCAGGAACACTCCGTATTTGTTGGAGCCGACGTCGAAAAAGAACCGCTTAGAGTCCACCATGATGGAGGTGCCCTCGGGAAGCTCGCTGTAGCCCCCCGCGGCAGTGCCCCCCGTCAGCTCCTCGTCGTCTCCCCCGTAATCATCTATGAGCTTAGCCAGGGCGTCTCTGAACTCTATTAGCCCTTGCGCCGGAAGGGCAATGGTCTGGCCGGCCAGCATGCCACCCACGGGCCCCCCGACCCCAAAGCCAGGTCCGCGGTTTACGGTTTGCCGGATCCGCAGGAACCTACCCCGCTGGTTCTCCTTCAAGTCCAGGTAGTACTTGCGGTTTTCCCGGACAAGAAACTCGCTCTTTAGAGCTCGCCTCGGCCCACCATCTTCACCCGCGGTGGCCTGGGCTATTTGCTCCGGAGTGCTAGGCCCCAGCTGGGCGTAGTGCTCGATGAAATCCCCGAGGTAGTCACGGAACTCCGCCGCAACTGACAGCGAGAGGGTCAAGCGACTTTTGGAGCCCCCGGCCCCTACCTCGGCAATTTTAATGAATCTGCCTTTACTGTTCTGTTTGACATCCAAATAGAAGCGCTTGTTCTGAATGTCGAGGCGCTTAGACGCCAGCTCCTGGGTCTCCTGGTCCCGCTGAAAGTGCTGGAAGCCGCCTCCTCCTCCTCCGCTACTTCCACCGCGCTCACTCCCACTGTCGCCATCCGCCATCTTCAGCTCCACCATTCGGCTTCTGCCCCCCTCTTTCTGAGCAGCAGCTCGCTGCGTGCAGTCGTCAGCCAGTGTCGACTGCCAGCCCTCCCCTCACGTTCTCCACTGAAGCGCTGTGATTGGCCCAAACGCTTGCCACTTCGACAACTTCACACGTTTGTGGCGTTTTTTATTGGTCAATAAATTTGCCTATTAGCGTCCATCTTTAATATCACTGGTCAGCCATTGGTCCACAAAACAGTCGAAGTTATGTCAGCGAATACTTCCTTTTTTCAAACATTTTATTTTATTTTATTAAAGTTATAAAATCACAATAGTTGTGTAACATATTTTTTTACTTTTAAAATACGTTTTTGAATAATAGGACAAACAGTTTCTTCTTCAATAATGGATATAACATGACATGACTGTCCAGCTCTTTAACTAAAGCCTGGAGTATTACTTATTGGAAATATAAGTAACTATCAAATGGGCAGATTTTTTTACACTTGTTTTCTAAGCCATTGTGTTGCTACATTGTTGTTGCATTACCCGATTCTGCCAGTGGATGTCGCTGTTGTATACTCTTTATCCACCAGACTCTCCACTTCTCTGTCAAGTGTGACAGCATCCTCTGTAAGATTAAATGACAACTAAAATATGGTTTGGTAATTATGGAAAAAGTCAAATTGACAAGAGCTCTCACAGTACTAACACTAAATTTAAGTCTAGCTCAAGTCACATTTATTTGTAAAGCACATTTCAGCAACAAGGCAGTTCAAAGTGCTTTATAATTAATACATCATAGTGATCAATTATGAAACAAGCAATAAACATTATATTTTGTCAAATACCATCAACAAAATTATCAGGCAAATATACATCAAATATGTTGGTCAATGTTTCACTTTCTACTAATCAAAGGCAACTCTAAACAAGTGGGTTTTAAGCCTTGTTTTTAAATAACTCAGTGTTTCTGTGGTTTTACAGTTTTAGATTAAGATTTTTTGTTCAGATATAAAAAATGGAAGATTTGAAGTTTAATCTACTATATCATTTCTTCAGGTTCTCCCCCCTTTAAGTCACAGTCCAGTACAAACCTGTAAATCAAGTTCCAAACTTTTACCTGCACAGCCAAGCATTGTGAAGGACTTTGTTTCCATGGGAACTTTCATAAAGCCAACAACCTAGAAGCTGTCAGCTGGAAGTTGCTGGAACCTCAGTTTCAATTTCCACAATGGTGCAACAATTACATAATTTCATAGAAAAGGTTTACGGTAAAATGAGACAAAGTTTGAGTTGAAGTGATGAGAAGTATGAAAAAAATCGAGGTTTTCCAACATAATGATGTTACTTTCAAGTAGTTAAAATAAAATAGCACACGACGCTAATGATAGCAGCCATGTTACACACATAGAGTAGCTTTGGAATGATCAAGCATGCTGTTGACATGTTGGTATGGTGGGCCCTGTAAAAATCTATTAGGGCCCCAAAAAGGCTTGGGCCGGCCCTGGCATCAGTGCTACCATTGTGTTCTCGGTGCAAACAAAGAGAAAACAAGTAAACAGCACAATTTTCAAATGATTTTATTTCTTCTAGACAAATGTGATCATATGTAAAAAAGGAAAAAAAAAGTATTTGTCCTGGCTGTGCCCTCTTTTACGGCTCGGTTTTCAGAGAGACATTTCTGGCCATGAAACTGATATGAAAGGAACTTGATTTTTTTCTAACACATCACACACATTCTATGCTGTTACGACAAAGTGATACTTTTAATAACTGTGTAAAGAACATATATCTTTTCAAAATAAAAGTTACACGCCATAGCTTTAACATAAATCACAGCATAATAAAGAAGCACACCTGCACAACAAAAACCTACTTTCACTCTGCTGAGTAACTCGTTTACTCTAGCAGGAGCTGCTCACACAGAACACTCGTGATCATTTTTCTTTATTTTCACAGTCACAACACTTCTCTCTAAACAAACAGCTTCATCTGTCCAGTTTTAAATAGATTCAAACTCTACAGAGACAGATACACACACACAGTTCACATTATTGCACGCCACCCAGTTCAGGTTGGAGTTTTAGGCTATTTAAAGTCTTTTGGAGATGCACTGACCCCATATTAATATCTGTATTTGTCGCAAAATTGAATCCATTTGAAAGAAGGTTTATTTCAGTTTATTTTTTTACATGTTTGACCAAAATAGTCCACCTATTGTTTTTGTTAGATTCAGTTTCTTTATTATTTATGTTAAATTGGCTGTTATACTCACAACTGCACTGACTGAACATATTAAAGTTGGTTTTACGTGTTTGACCAAACTTGTGAAGCTATTGGTGTGTGTATGTGAGCTGTGCTGGTGCAGAGTTACCAAATTATGTCTCAGTTTAAAAAAAGAAATGTTTAAAGTCGACTCAGCTGCACTGGATCGGTATCGGCCCATACTTAACTTCAGATATTGGTATCAGAAGTGAAAAAAGTGGATTGGTTCATCTGTATTGATTAACAGAATGACTTCAGTAGTTTTGTTAAAAAAAAAAATAACAAAAGCTGATGGTTCTGAAGTTGGTTCCAGCATCACTGATCAGTAGTACTGGGGGTACGGTGGGTAGGTTCCTCTGAGGTGAGAGGCGGTGGGCAGCATGACTCCTGGGAGGCTGCTGTACTCGTAGACGGAGTCCAGGGGCAGAGCGGAGGTGCTGGACAGAGGCGAGCTGTACTGAAGGCTGTGAGGGTGAACGTAGGTTGCGGGGGCGGCGGGGTCCGGCACCACCACGGCGGCGGCGGCGGCCGGGTGGTACCGGGGGTACGGGCCGGCCCTGTAGGCCTGCAGCTCGGGGTAATGCAGGAAGTGAGACGCAACATTGGCGTGGGCCAAGGCGTCCTGCACCGTCCTCTTCAGCTTCATCCGCCGGTTCTGGAACCAGTTCCTGATCTGAGACAAACATCACAGAGGGAACGTATGAGGCTGAAGCAAACCGGATGGATGATAAATAATGTTTCATTGAAAAATCAATGTGAAGATGAAACATTTTATTGAAAAAAAAAAATAAAAAAAATAAAAAGTTAAATAAAACTGACATTTTAAAAATCAATTTTTACATTCAGATTTGTTTGGTAACAATAACTAATAAATCCTCTTCTGTCCCAGGTACAAGAAAGGATGTTGAACTTAGTTGAAAGTAAGTAGTTCTTTCGACAACTTACAAGATATTTTCACCCTGATTTATTATGAAGTCACTTGTAACCTGGTTACTATCTTATTTGTCTTTAGTTGTGCCACCCTAAAATTTTTACTGGCCACCCTGATCAAAACTGGTGATGAAAGATTTCTGGAGACATCAATGCCAAAAATATCATGCAATATATGGAGTGCAAGTTTAAAGTGAGGAAATTAAAATAAAATTAAAGTTTTGGAAGGGTTTAAAAAGTTCCAGACAGTGACTGCTTTACTAAAAAACAACCCAAATATCTACTAAGTTCAAAGTAATTAAAAAAAAAAGTCATTTTCCAGGGTTATGAAAGTAACGTGAAAACGTGAAAGTTCTTAGCTACTTTATTAAATGTTAAAATAGAGAACAAACAAAATGTAAAACATAAAGAATGAATTCTGTTAGATTAAAACACATTTTCCAAGTGGTCATTTAAAAAAATCATGAATCGAACTTAAAGTATTAATCACTCCTAATTCCAGTGCATAATTACTGAAGACATTTAGAATTGATGTCTGTTAAAGGTTAAAGGTCAGAACAAGGAAATGATCTGAATTTTTTCTTAAGCTGTCTGCTGAGCAGCAGTGGAAGCTGACTGAGGACAGTCACCTGCTTGTCAGAGAGGTTGAGCTTCTTGCAGAGCTCCGCCTTGTCCTGCGTTCCCAGGTACGCGTTCCTCTTGAACGCCCCCTCCAGGCTGCTGATCTGCTCCGCTGTGAAGGCCGTGCGGGGCCTCCTGCCCACCGGGGGCGACGGTTGAGACTTGGAGGAGGCGCTGACGGCGGGGGCGGAGGGGGAATGAGGCTGACCGCCTTCGCTCTCGTAGCCGGAGGTCTCCTCTTCGGTGCAGCTGCTGAAACCGGCCTCACTTCCTGCTTATTGCCAGAGACAAGCAGGACAGGACTTTACGGGAACCTTAACAACGAGCGGACACAGAGCTGAGCGCCGCTGGTGGTGCTAAATGAAGGGAAACGCAGGGACCACTGTTTCTGCGAAGATTCACAGGAATGCTCAGCGGCGACCACAAGGGGGCGCCAGAGGGTGGGATTTGCCCCCTAGAGAGCCATGTTCAGTTCATACAAAGACAGTCATCTTCCTCAATCAAAGCATAAATGTGAAACCCAATAAATACATTCTAAATATTTTTTTATTATTATTTTCACCTTTGCCCCCCGCAACTTTTTACCTGGACTTGGACTTGCCACCCCAAAGAAAAATTATGTAATTTTAAAGCACATGTTGATGTATTTGTGTAGTCCTTTGAGAAAGAGACATAATTATCTCATAGTTATTGCTTTGCAGATAAATATAGAGAATAGCATTATCTTCTAAAACTAAATACTAGTGAAAACCAACGTGCTTTAGTTCTAATTTGTAATATTAAAGTCCTTAAATTGTTCCAGCTGATACCAAAAAAACATTATACTAGTTCACAAGAACAGACACACCGGTGGTTCCCAAACTTTTTCACCTGGCCCCCCCAGTGGTTTCCAAACATTTTCTGCCCCCCTCCCCCCTATGGATTATAAATAGCTGCCTTTTTTAACGACGTTTGTGGGGTGGGGGTCGACTTTTTGGGGGGCAAAATGACTGTACGTAGCCGAACATAGACAACAACATCAGTAGCCTAAAGGCTACTTGTTAAGCTTAAGGTGATGTATTGATATTATGATATTAGCTAGTCATCTTTTAACTAGCCTGCATCCAACAGCTTTACTCAACTCAGTCGGTTAGTTTGGAGGAAAAACTGTGAAAAGTTCTTTGCGTTTTGCTGGTTGGCTGTCATGATTCTAACACACCTGCGTAGCTCTGCACAGCAGCAGCAGGTCTCCTTCACTGCTGCACAGGTGTAAACCAGCGCGAGCGTCGTTGAGCTCATGTTGCGTTTAAAGGCGTCTCGGAAAAGCAGGTTACCACATGTTAACAACGAATTAAACAGTTTTAACTGCTGATAAAAGTGACAGAGGACTCAGATATGGGAAGTGTGGAAGCCCCTATCAAATTGACATAGGAATAACAGAGAGTTGGCCATTCTAAGGTAAAAACCCAGCGCATACAGCGTTCATGTTTTCTTTCTTTTTTTTTTTTTCATCCAGACGGCTTCCCCCCATTGCAGGGGGGGGGGGGTGCCATTACTGCCATTACAGTTTGGGAACCTCTGCACTAAACTAAGATAAAAGTTATTGAATGTTTTTGCAAAAGTGAAAAGCAAAAGGAAACTGATTACTATAAGAATAGCAGAAACATAAATAACCAGTATCAGCCTAAAAATGAATAAATAATAAAATAAATGAAAAATTGTAAATTCAGTAAGTAGTATATTTTAATTGTTCTATTATTTATTAAAGTTAAGTGAACAAAAATATAAAGCTTTAAGTTTTAAAACCGAAATTTGATTAATAAAATAAAGCGCAGTTTAACTATCCTGATGTTGACATTTAAAATTTTAAATCCAATATTTATTAGTATTTTTAGGACAAGAGTCAGTGGAATTTTTTTTTCCAATAAAGTGCATTAAAAAGCAGCAGATAGCAGTTCTGAACCCGACACCTTTAACTGTTTACAGAGTGAAACTCTCACCCTGATTCCTGGGACACGTTCGGAGCTGAGGAGCTTCCTGGCTGATGGTGTCGATGTGCTGCTGCTGCTCCGGTCCTGGAAGCTTCTCAGGTTTTGGTTTGCAGTAAAAACCTGGCAGGCTCTCTGAATGCGTCCCCCAAGCTGCCGGCCCGGATGCTGGCCCTGCCGGCTTGCTGCTCTGGGCCAGCCACTCGATGGAGAAATGGCCCTTCATCCTTATTGAAGGTTAAAGTTTCTCAGTGAAGAAAAAAACCCCTTTTGTTTCATAAAAAGAAAATTTAAAAAAAGTGAAGCTCAGCTCAGAGTTCAGGTCAGAGGAAAGTTCTCCTCAGGACGGTCACTTGCAAAAGGTCAGAGAGTTATGATTGTATCTCCAAGCAGGAGCCGCATTTATAGCAGCCGTCCCCAACCTGAAGATCAAAGTATGCTGCATCCCCTCCTTCAGTTTTCACAACTGAAGTAATTAAGACGTCCCATTCAGTCTCAATGAGGCTGTTAGAGCCAGGCTCCAGTGAGTCTGGGAAGGACCCCCTTCTGTCCTCCAGCACCCTCCTCCTTCCTGCCTGTAACAGATAATAGACTCACCTCACCCCAGACCGTCTGCAGCTCCTCCACAGCCACAGCCGCGCCGCGTAAAAACACGTGGAGCGGCCATTCTCTGCAGGGGAGACGTTTCCGCTCAGGACCGGTGTGGAAGCGCGTAAAGGTACAGCACCGAATTCATCTGAAGTAGTCTGGAGTCAGGGTTCAACACTCTGGTTTTAATGCAAACCATCCTCAAATGGAATTAATATTGCATCTGTTTTGAGAAAATGTGCTTTTTGTCACTGATTTGGCCCTTTTGAGTATATCTATCTATCTATCTATCTATCTATCTATCTAT